AATCAAATAATATATTTCTCGATATATCAAAAAGAATATTTCGATAGATACCAACGACGATAAACAAAATGCAAAAGAACATTTTGCTCAAATTTTGCAGTCTGAACACCTTACGCATATGAAGAAAGAACAAAACTCAAATTCTTTTTTTCTAACGGCTACTCTTTATATCATTTATGGATTTATCACCGTTATCATTTTTTATTTGATAACAAAAGTCATTTGTCCAAGTGGTCCTTGCCATGAAAATCATAATTTCTTGTTCTTTCATTTTTTTTTTTTTGTCAAACTTCTTGTTATATCAATAAGAGAATTGGCAAGATATGTTGAGTACTTTTTCATACTCAAGTTTGATCTTGAAGCTCAATATAATATATCAAACATATTATGAGTTAATTGCTTGTTTCGAACGAATATTCAAATATATTGTTTTCATATAAATCAAAAAAAAACGAAAAAAAAGCTTTTACAAATAAAAAAAATTTTTATGTTATAGCTACAGTTAACATATTTGACGATAGAATTTTTTTATTTGATTTCGTTGCATATTGATAATTATATTTTTTATTATTTGTTAATTTTGAAAGATTTGTTTTTGATAATGATTTAAAATTTTTACGTTTAGTTAATGGATAATATTGATCATAAAATTTTACTTTACGTTGTATGATTTTATTTTTTTGTTGTTCATTATTATTTAATTTAAATGTAACAGTTCGTTGTTGTTGTTGTTGTTGTTGTTTTTTATCATGCCACGGTAATATTCGATTTCGATATATTGCTGTTTGTTTTTCAATATCACTTGTATCACTATCAATATTATCATAAAAATGTTCACTTGATGTATTATCATCATCATTATCATTAAGATTAATTCCGCGTAAACGTAAACGTTGTCGAAATAATTCTTCTTGTAATTTAATTGTATGTTCAAGATTATCATGTGTTGTATACATTGTACAAGCAGCATTTAAAACACGTTCTAGAGATTCATTTTCATCAGAATATGTACTACTTGGTAAACTTTCAGCTGTATTATATGCACTTGAACTACTTTCATTATGTTTTATTGATGATTGATCGGTTGTCGAAAGAGAAGGCGATGATAATGAATGATGAGATTGAGGTTGAGGTATAGCAGATATATATTCAATATGATTATCTTTTTTAAGCGTATAATATTTTGGATTCTAAATGAATGAATATTTTAATGATTCGAAATTTTTTTTTTATTTTTTAAATCTATACAAACTTTTTCTGAATTTTGTATTTGTGGTAAATAGGATTTTGTTTCATTATAATGTGGTGAACAATTTGAACATATTAATGATGAATTATTTTCATCTGTTTGACTTGAAAAATCTTTTAAAGCTTTCATATTTTCATTAAACTATAAATAACAAAAAAGTTTAATATTAAATTTATCAAAACAAATTATGTTTATTTTAATAAAAAAAAAAAAAAAACTTGAAGATAAAACTATGCACTTTCTTTAGTAATACGTAATCATTTATTCTAACACTTCTACTTGTTTTAATTCATCAAAGAAGTTTAAAGAGAAAATAAACGTGATCAAACTTTGTTTTAATGTAGTGACGTTTGTCTGGCTGCCTAAAGGTACTTTATCATATAATCTTTCATCACATATCCCAGACAAATTATTTAACTTTCTTTAAAAAAGAAAAGCATTGTGTCAGTGGTCAAATAATTCAACGTCTATTATTCATTCAATAATACAGTAAATAATATTTTCTCATTATAATAAAAATAATATTATTCAATTATTTTACCGTTTTCTGTTGTTGATATTTAAATATAAGATGTGCCATCTTTTTTTTATGTTGTTGTAAATCATTATATAATATTCCAATTTGTTTAATTAATTCATGTTCTTTTTTTTCATGTCGTATATTTAAATCATCAATAATATTTTTTAATTGTTCTATTGTTTGACATTTTTCATGAAGAATATGTTTTGTTGTTATTATATCCATTGATGTATGAGATAATCTTGATGAACTAAACATTTGTTTATCTAGAAGAAGAATAGATATTCATACATACTATATCAAGTTATAACTAGTCTAACGTCAGACTTTTTTTTTTTCTTCTACTATGAATATTAATCGATCCCTATTTACTCACCGTCATATATCAAGAGGAACAATCTTCATTCTCGATTGTCGACCGATGGATAAGAAAAAAGAAAAGAAAGAGAAGAGAAGAGAAGAGAAGAGAAGAGAAGAGAGAGAGACAATCTTTTTTTTCTCTTTCTAATTATATAACGTTGATTTAACCTGACAAACGCACACCAACATTTTTCTCTATACATCATACATTTCCTGTTTAACGTTTGCTTACTCGTCATGCAGATACAATTCATGAGTTGTGTATTGTTTATACATTTGCACATATAACCTCTTCATCTATCTAAAATCATTGCGTATACATACATACATACATACAGGACAGATTTAACATTCATTGTACAATCAGAATATTGAGTATATTCTAATTGTCTTATTTATTAATCAAATACAAAATAGGATTATATTGTCGTATATACATGTTTTTGTCTATGTGAAAAATCAATCGAATCTATTATTATTCTAAATGATTACTCCCATTCATCTGACATTGATTTAATAAATAGATAACGAAGCAGAAACAAAAAGAAATTAATTACATTGAAGGTCGATATATGAAAAGCGTGAAGGATTATCTTACTCAAAAGTCGCGTCAATTTCGGATCTATATATCTATATATATATATATATATATATACATACAATATTGCTTATACACCTATTTAACATAAAAGAAGATTATAGTGAATGTCCTTCACAGAATAACACTAGTGCTCTATGCATATAGTGGGTGTATGAAACGATTATATAATGAGTGAAGTGTGCATATCAACAGATGCAAGTATCACAACATAAATACAAGTGGAATCTTTGTTCCGCATATATACATACATAATGACAAAATGACGACAGAAGACCTTGATGAGTGGTGCCTTAGAAATGTCAGAAGAATATATGTATAAATATGATAAGTTCTACTGATTATCATAGACTCAGAGAACTATAATAAATGGGTCGGTCGATGTTGTTAATAGTTATTAGTACCTATGTGGATGTGTTCTTGAGTTTCTCTCTTTATAATAATTGATGACATATGAGACAGCGTGTGACTTAGTAAAGATCATAGAGACAGGTTAAATGACGGCATTGGAACTTGTCAAGATAAGACTTCTCGCATAAATTCGGCCCAATATCTAATACGACAACAAAAATAACGAATCTCATCTCAGTCTATGTAAAGCATGTGTTGATATGTACGATAAAATAACGAAAAGCAAGTAGTCAATCATCAGAATATACTACAATGACAAATATATTTGCACTGAGGTTTTTCTTATCATTGAATTTGTTTTCTTGTCCTATTTAATTAAAATAGCACTTACTTTATCGAATAAATCATGAAAGAAGATCATTTCACGGATCATTATATTAATCGTTATTGAATAGGACAAAAAAAAAGTACAAATTTATTTCTTGATCAACATCAAACGAACGAAAAAAAAAATTATCAATCCAATTGATTTTTTTACACTGGTTATTTTTTTGTACTTTCATATATATATATATAGATTAATTGTTATCAAAAATGAATTTTTATTTAATAAGAAAAAAGATCTTAATTAAATAAGCTATCAAAAAAAAGAAAAATACTAGACATATAACATCCGGTCAATAATGTCTACATGCAATGTTTGAATCTATTTCATTATACATATACCTGTAACAATCTAATTCATATGTATTGACGCTTATGCTCAATAACCCATCAAACTGCTCTTTTTATATTATCCTACTTATTTGACGCTTTCACCTGGCATGATTACTCTATAATTAGTTTTTTTTTTCTTTATTCGAGATAATGTTGACCTGTCCTATCCAGTGGAGTGTAGAGCAATGTATGCATATGACTCAAACTTATCAAATTAGGAAATTCATAGAACATGCGGCGATCAAACGAACATTCGGTGATAGACAGACGGTGCTTCTCTTGAGAAAGAAAAAGAAAATTAGAAAAGAAGCGAACCTTTCTAGTAAAAACAATCTAGAAAATGAACCTGTTCTCATGTTCAGTTAAAATAACGTTCGAACTCTATCTTAATGATGATTGACAAGTGCACAAGACAAGCCCTACGGTCTGTTCAACAATGATCATACATAAAAAACATTTCTTATGAGAAAGAAAGAAACAAAAGAGGTGTCAGATAATCGTTGTTGATATCAATTACCTATTAACATCTTCTCATATAAAAGGTTATAAAATAAAAATCACTTGAATTGAAATCGATCATGGATGAGGATAAAATTTTACTTCTTTTCATATGAACATTTATAATCTATCTGTTATTACTTTACATTTGATGAATGATAAAAATATTGTTTTGTTTGTATCATGTCTATTATATAATCATACTTATGTCGAAACGATGAATGTACATTTATATATGTCTGATTGTGTTCATTGAAGATTATTTTTTACTTATTTATGTAATTGTACTATCGAATATGTATGTTTTTGCAAACTATTCGAAAAAAATTATATGATCAATGTAAAAAATAATATATATATAAAATCAGTTGAAAGAAAGAAAATTTTATCTCATTAAAGCTTTTTAGCATATGATAAAAATGATTGTCATAGATAGAGATGAATGATTTTGAATTTGAATTTAATGGGTCATACTACAAAACAATACTGTATTTTTTTTGATTGAAAAAAAGTCTACGAATATCGAGAAAGTCTAATTTTAATCCGACATATAAGTTAACTTTTTTGATTTCTGTAGGTGAAATTTTTAATTAAAATAATAGTTCATGTTTATTTCATACTATATTTTCAATAGCAATAAGGTTTGATTCAACTAATTCTTGCTTTCGTTTAATTGAATCATTTTTTTTTCATGTATAATCATTGTGAAATCTCAAATAAAATATGTACACTTAAAATGTCAAAAGAAGAACATGATAAAAATTCTTTTACTTTTTCTAATTGCTGTCAAATTCTTTTTATTGAATCTTCAATGTCATCGACAAATTCTTTTTCTTTTATAACTCTTTGTTGTCAAAGTATAAGTCAATACAAATATAAATTATGCATAGATATATAACCATAAAAATCACAGTTGACGTCAAATTATTCTATTTCAACATAACAGAATACCATTTTGTTATGTTGTAAGATTTTTCCTGTTGCTATTGTTCGAATAAAATTCCATTCATTTTCAGCATACCGAACTTCAAGTTTCTATTATAAATCACAAATAGGATTCTCTTAATATTAAATTTTCATTATTCTTTTTTTCTAGATAATTGAAATAAATCAGTCTGAGTTAAAAAAAAAAGATTTCAATATACATGCAGAAATACGTCATGTTGTTCTTCTCCTTGATTGTGAATTTCCATTAAAGATTAAAACTTTTTCATTTATTATTATAAAATAAAACTAACTTTTTCCTACTACTTTTATTTGTTATTAATGTTGTATAACAATCAATTAATTCTCAAATTTCTTAGAATTCATCAACAGTTTCAACAGTCTGACAAAATCGAGTTTTATAATGAGAAAAATTAAAGAGAATGTTTACTTTTTCAAGATATTCTAGTATGATTAGCATATTTGGACAAGTTCTCGTTCATCGTGTGCTTGTTTGCATTAGTTTTTTAATTATATTCTTAAGTAGCTTATCTTTTTTTCTTCTCAAGGATAGGATTTACACGTTGATATATTTTTCAAAAACTGGCTAAATTTTCACGTAACTTATGTTCCTTTATATATATGTTTGACTTGTAATTGCATAATTTTAATCTTTATATTGTTCATTCAGATTCTTAAATCATTTAAAACAACAAAAAATAAATAAATGAATGGATTCTTAAGAATTCAATATTTATTTTTGATCTATCAATAAGGTTTGTATCTGGATAACTTCATGTTGTTTTTCTAACAATTGTTATGTAGATGATAAATGTTAATGACCACATTCGAGTAATGTTCTTTAGGAAAAGACAATTTATTTTTTATTAATAAAGGATTTTTATTGCTGTTATTGCAATTTTCATATTGAAAACTGTTCAAAAATGTTTTTCCATGAGTGTATTCATGGTTATCTATGAAGATGTAAAAAAAAATCAGCTATTTGACTCTAGCAATCAGAAACAGAATGAAAAGAAAAGATACAACTATAGACATATTACACATAGAAAAAGAATCTGTTATTTGTTGCACTTGTCAATAGTTTTATCTATCATCATCATCATCTCGTTGAGGATACCGTTGTTCACAGGCACAACATAAACAATTGACATTACTGACATCCGTTGGTGCACAAACACAAACAGTATTGCCACACTAAAAAGAAATCATATATATCATTAAAAAAAAGAAATAAAATATTTCATTTACCGAACAACATTGTCCAGAACAACAAGCTTCACATGTAATAATATCTGCAAATTCGATGGACTATTTAAAAAATAAAGAATAATAGATATTTTTTTTTTCTTTTTATATAAATTATTTTCTTGTAATATACTCCTCGTTTTGGACAACATGCATCAAGACATGATTCAATTGATGTTGTACTACAACAATCACATGCTTGAGCACATCCTATACAACATTCTTGACAACCTAAACATCGAATACCACTGATATTACAATTGCAACAATCTCGAAGCATGCCACGAGACTTTAATAATCAGCAAAAAAAGAAAAATAAACTAGCATTGATAATTAAAATAATTCATTTTTTTTATCTACCTTTAAAATTTCTCGAATAATAATAACAATAATCAAAACTAAAATAAGACCACTAATTGTAATCACAAAGATATAAGGCGGAGCCAATGCAAGCTGATTTCCACTAGCGATACCGCCAGGAAGAAACGTAGAAGCCTATAAAAACAATCAAATTAATCTGATATTTGTTTTTTTTTCCTGATAATAAAAATACCTTTACATTAGTTGACATTTAATGCTAGTAATTTTTTTTTTGTTTCAGCAGTTCTCCATTTCTGCATTTTTCTCTATGTAACGGCCTCTATTCTAGCGAATATATTGTAATCATGGTAACAACTCTTTTGTTGTTAAGTCTATTGGTGATAAGAATGGCGACTTGAATTCTCTTATGTTCATTATCTGATTTCTACAAAACTACGTTCATCAATTTAAGAAATCATGGCTGACGATGAAGAAGAAATGGGCGAAGAAGAAAATACAAATAATTTAGGCGTATGAGCATTGATTTATTTTCTTTTCTGAATTAATTTTTTTTTTGTGATTGTTTAAGTCTTATGAAGGTGATCGTAATGAAAATAATGAACGTCATGGTTTTGGTAAAGCAAAATTACCAAATGGAGATACATATGAAGGACAATATCAAAATAGTAAAAGACATGGAAC